CCCCCACTTGTGATCACCATCCTCCCCAGCTCCCTTCACGGCCTTGCTCCCATTCTGCCTCCAGTGCCCACCACCCCTCCAAACCCCAGCCCTCTACCTACACCCCATCTCTGCCCATGATCCTCCTCCAGCTCTCCTTTCTTTAACTCCGCAGACATCAAGTCTCGTGTGCCTTTTACCCTCTGCTGCTCTTTACCGTTGCCTGCTATCTCGCTGCCCACATATCCCTTTGTTCCATGGTGCCAAAACCCCCAATGCCACGGCATCCCATAGTTCCTGCACTGTCAACTTCCTTGCACATTGTATCACCACCAATACCCTCTAATCCCTCTGCAACATTAACGAAATCCTGCCTTTGACCCTCTGTCTTCTTTCCCGTTTCACATTCCCACATCTCCAGGCTCTCTGTACCCCCACGTTCTCCCAATTCCATGCTCTCCCTGGGCTTTCATTCCTACCCTGCTCTATCACACAACTGTGCACTGTCACCGCCTCCAGCACTCAATTTTCTTACATGCTTTAAACTAAGGGAGTGATGCTCAGATCACTTGTTGTATTTTGGACACTGTAGTATCATCCCCATGAGATGGTACAGAGTTGAAAATATAAAGGGTGGATTGAGGGGAACCTGGGTGGCTCAGTCGGGTTAAGCATCCAACTTCAGCTCAGGTCATGATCTCACAGTCCATGGGTTCAAGCCCCGCATCAAGCTCTGTGCTGACAGTATGAAGCCTGCTTGGGACTGTCTCCCCTGCTCTCAAAAATAAACAAACATTGGAAAAAAAAAAAAAAGGTGGAGTGACACAAGTGGTCTAGAAATACAACTATTTCATTTATTTTTTTTTATTTTTTATTTTTTTTTTTAATTTTTTTTTCAACGTTTATTTATTTTTGGGACAGAGACAGACAGAGCATGAACGGGGGAGGGGCAGAGAGAGAGGGAGACAGAGAATCGGAAACAGGCTCCAGGCTCCGAGCCATCAGCCCAGAGCCTGATGCGGGGCTCAAACTCACAGACCGCGAGATCGTGACCTGGCTGAAGTCGGACGCTTAACCGACTGCGCCACCCAGGCGCCCCTACAACTATTTCATTTATACACGAACACAATGTCAAGACACACATGCATAGGTTTACCATCTGAGTTTGATTTCTTGAATGAAAATGAGACCTTGTGAATTTTGTGAAAGTGCATAACACTGTGTATTATGTGAGTGCGTACTTCTGTAGAGTAAGTCGGTCTATAGAGGAGTGTGTTCGTGGTGGGATGTATGTGCATAAATATGTGAGTATATGTGGCTGTGTATTTGGCTGAGTGTGAATGCACGTGTGTGCTTGCATCTGTATGTAAGCGTGTCACTGTGTGTGTGCTGGGGTGTGTGGGTAGGTGTATTGGGGGCTGTCCATACAGCCTAATATCTGAGTTCAACATGGAGAGACACTGCATAATAAACCTGGATCAAAAGTGGGTTTGTATGACACAAAATTTTTATTCAAATTCATGTTTTATATTTCTTTTTTTTAATATAAAGTTCATTTATTTTGAGAAAGAAAGAGAGAGAGAGAGAGACATACATGAGTGGGGGATGGGCAGAGAGAGAGAGAGAGAGAGAGAGAGAATCCCAAGCAGACTCCGAGCTGTCAAAGCATAGCCCAACTTGGGGCTCAATCTCATAAACTGTGAGATTATGACTGGAGCCAAAATCATGAGTTGGTCACTTAACCAACTAAGGCACCCAGGCGCCCCTATATTTCTTGATTAATTACAAAGGTAATCAGGGTTCGCTACTCAAAATTCAGCAAAAAACAAGCACAGAGAACTGTGGCAACCACTCAGTGCTCCTGAACTGTGTAAGTAGCATTGGTTGATCCAGAATTTAGAGGAAAGACCTTTTATTATTATTATTTTTAATGCTTTTTATTTTAATATTCATTCATTCACTTCAGAGAGAGAAGAGAGCACATGCGTGGGGGAGAGAGGGGGTTCTCCCTCTCTGGCAGAGAGAGGGAGAGAGAGAGAGAGAGAGAGGGTGAGAGAATCTTAAGCAGGCTCCATGCTCACTATGGAGCCCAATGAGGGGCTCAATCCCACGACTGTGAGATCATGACCTGAGCTGAAATGAAGAGTTGGACGCTTAACCAACTGACCCACCCAGGCGCCCTAAGGAATGACCTTTTAAAGCATCAGATCCTGGTGCTATTACTAGTCCAGACCTCACGAACTTCTCTCTTTCTATGGTTATTGTTCTCCCATCCAAGGACTAACCAGACCTGACCCTGCTTAGCTGCCGAGATCAGACGAAATCGGGCGCATTCAGGGTGGTATGGCCACAGACTTTGTTTATTGTTCTTTTTTTTTTTTTTAATTTTTTTTTTAATGTTTTTATTTTATTTTTTGAGACAGAGAGAGACAGAGCATGAACGGGGGAGGGTCAGAGAGAGAGGGAGACACAGAATCGGAAGCAGGCTCCAGGCTCTGAGCTGTCAGCACAGAGCCCGACGTGGGGCTCGAACTCATGGACTGTGAGATCATGACCTGAGCCGAAGTTGGACGCTCAACCGGCAGAGCCACCCAGGCGCCCGTTTATTGTTCTTTTTAGACCTCCTATTACTCCTGCGAGTTGAGTATCAGTAAAGTATATTTTCCCACAAAACTTCCATATCATCTGGAGTTCCAAACTGTCAGTGAATGCTTGACATCGTGTTCTTCCTGTTACTAAAACTCTTTGAAAACCATTGGACTTTGTTCCAACTTCTTTGCTTACAACTTAAATTATGTTGTGGCTTTGGAGGTGTGAAGATTAAGAAAGGACTCACTTTTGGCTGGAAAAACTTCTCAGGGAAGCAGAGCATCTGGTGAGACACACACGCTTCACTGCCAGGCCCTCACAGGTCAGCCCTTAGCATTCTGTGCTCCCATGTGCGAGCCTTTCTGCTCCCCGAAATGGGGAAAAGAGCCTTTCCCAGACAGTTCAATGTCTCTTTGGAGCTGCTACCCGGAAACTTTTAATGTGTTTGAGTAATTAGCAACTGGGAAAAAGTTCTCCAGAAATGTTCTCAGTTCCCCAAGCGCATAATATCACTGTTGTTAACTAATGAAATGATAATTGCAGTTCTCAGGGGAGGTGGAGGTCACAGATTCACAATCCTTTATCTCAGGATCTGCCTCCCTCCCTCCTGTACACTTACTCACCAGCCATTATGATCTTCACAGGAGCTCACTGTCCAGACCGATGGTGTGTGGTGAGTATTTTGTTTCAGGCTGAGAGTTATAGTCTGTAAGGGAAGCAAGCATATCAGAAGTCCGAGTTAGTGATCATACTGGAAATTGGGATTCTTTCAGGTTTGAATGGGATCCAGTGCAAAAACCCCACAGGAAGGAGAAATTATCCCTTAAGTGTGAATTGAATGAGCAAATAGAAACGGGGGTCCTAAAGTCTGCAGCACTCAACAGCTCCATAAGTGATTTAACGTAATCGCCACTGAGAATAATTGTTGATGTTTAATTCAAGTAACAATAAAATCTGATTTTTAGAGTGCTTAAGAACTGTAGTTATGAAATCAATTGTTTTCAGCCTACCTTACAGGAACCATAGACAAATTCTTCAGAATTATTAAAGTGCCTTAGAACACTTCCATGCTTGCAATAAAGAGTAGGGTGAATCCACAGGAATCGCCAATTCAATGAAAAACATTTTATCTGAAAGGAAATTGCTAGAATGCGAATGTTTTATCTAGCTTGCATAAGTAGAGAGCGCTTAATGAAGACAGTAATTGTGTTTCCCCTGAAAATACCCACTGTCTGTTGGTGTTCGTGAAACTGTTTTCTGCTTGAAGTTAAGGAAGCAGAATTTTTTTTTT